TCTAACACAGTACATACAGCCAACGCGAAGTTTTCATTCAATATTCCTGCGCAAGTTTTTTTTTAATTTAACGTATTTTGGTCATTAGAATTTTGTCAAAAATCAACATCATCTAGTTTATTCAACTTATAAGACAGCCGACCATTCATTTAGACCTTTTATTGAGGCCACATTCTTCTGATGTTAGCATTAAAAAGATTATGTCTTGATAAAATATTCGTTGACCGCATTAAGATATTGAAGCTTTCTTTATATGAGTTTATTTGGTTCCTCGCTGCTTCCTTCCCTAGTTGAAATGTACGATTATCTTTTGTCTTCGTATTTTTTGTAAAACTGACTGTTTTACTGATTGGAAAAAATAAACTTGACTTCACTTGGCACAAATAACCTTGTTCTCCACTAAAATATATTTTAAAGCGTATCAGAATTTCTCATGTCCAAACTGTAAAAAAATAAACTTAAAACTTGATAGAATTTTCAAATATCATTATTCCTTGTGATCACAACGTAGAAAATTTGTCACAACAAAAAGATTTACCGACTCAGCATGTTGTGGACTCTTATCAAAGAATTGGTAGTTGTACTGCAGTAGCATGCTGAGATGAGGCAAGGAAAATCTCCCTTGATGAAAAGGAAACGACTGATGTAGATAACCAGATGCTAGTCATTGTAAAATGAAGATAACAATACGCAATATACAGACATGGATGATAAAATAACAGTAATGTCATGATGTAATTGGTATATAACTGGATGAAGTTAACTTCGTTTTCATTCATCAGATTTGTGCACAGACCAACGAATACCATTGAAATAATGTTTCGCTTCCAACAAAATCATCAAAATCAATGGGTGCAAGATCTTACTTCGTGGGGCTATGGTTCTAATTATACAGAGCAACCTGAATCGACATTGGAAGCCACAGTTAGTAAATCATCCCAATAATAATATGTTGCAATTCCAAGCAACAAACCCACCTAATTTAATAACCAACATCAATGCTCGTCTGTGCGACGAAGAACTTTGGCAAAAGTTTTCTGATGTTGGGACTGAAATGGTGTTGACAAAGAAAGGAAGGTAAAAACAGTTCTTATATTTTCAGATTTGTTTTTATATATTTCTGTTTTGCATTATTTTAACAATCTTAATTTTTGCAGGAGAATATTTCCAGGCTATCGAGTAAAGTTTTCAGGATTGGATCCAAATGCGCTTTACAACGTGATGCTTGACATCGTCCAGATTGATTCGAACCGATATAGGTTTCAGGTTTGTAATTCATAAGAAATTCTCTTAAATAAATTATAGTATTTATTTTATATAATATATATATAACACTTTATTTCATTAGAGCGGGCAATGGATTGTCGGTGGAAAAGGAGAAATTCCCCATAAACAAAACCACTACGTCCATCCAATTTCCGAAGTTACTGGACAAAAATTGATGGAAGAAATTGTATCATTTCATAAAGTCAAGCTTACAAATACTACTGCAAATCGATCCCATGATACGGTACGTGAATAATAATTTTGGTTTCATCCACTAATATCTCAATGTATAAAGAAGTGTATTAAATATTCTGCACCGTCTATCATAACGTATTTGTATTTTTTTTTCAGATTGTTCTCCATTCAATGCATCGGTATCAAATTCGTGTTCACCTCTCAAGATCAGACAATCAACATAATATTCAAACATTTGAATTTCCACAAACAACTTTCATCACTGTAACAGCTTATCAAAATTCCGAACTTTCTCAACTTAAAATAAAAAACAATCCATATGCTAAAGGATTCCGTGCTGATGGAAAACGGAAAAACAAAAGAACGTGCTCAAATGAGGATGAATATTTGCATAACGTTTTAGAAACAAAGAAAGTATGCAAATGGGATCAACAACAAGAATTGGAACGTAGCTATATTCATTATAATTCATCTTTTGCAGTGGACAATACAGATTTCTGTTTTCGGTCGCAAGAACATTGCCCACCCAATATCTACAAAAACAATACTCCAACTCACCAGCCTTTACAAATGTATTTCAATTCTCCCAACTCAATTGCGTCGCAGGATTATGATCACCAAACACTCTACTCTGGCGATTCTGCAACAATTAACGAAACACAATCTCCACAGAGTTTGGAAAGAGTCGACCACACCGAGACTCTGTGGAAAGACAATTTGTTAGATGAATTGTGTAATGACAATATTGTATATTATGACGATCCGGGATATGTTTCAGCATCTCCAGCTGAATTTTTAGATAATGATGATGTTTCACAATTTCTGTTTGAAATCGAATCATGAGTTTTATTTTACAAATACTATAATTTAACTTCCAATATAGTTCCTTTTATTTGAAAGTTTTGGAAAATAAATAATCAACCGATAAATATACTATGTGTTCGTTATTCCGATTGATAGGCGAGTGAAAGTTTTACATGTTGTTAATTAGAACGTTCCTATTCTCAAAATCCTTGGGAATCTCAGGGATAGTGGTCTTCATGCTCAAGTTCCTGAAAACCAGACATTTAAGTGAAAGAGAACTTTTCTCTAAAAACTGTTACCAACCTTTCCAAAGATGAGGTAATATTAATTTTAATTTACAATTTTGCACTAAAGACGAAAGACAGAAAGAAAGACCAAATTATGTCGTATTTTTTTTTAATATAACCGAATAGATTATTGAAGCTTTAAATTTGATATAAAGCTTTCCAGGCTAGAAGATAGGAAAATGATTTTTTACTCTAGACGTTTTTTTATTGACAAATGCAACTTGAATCTGTGCCACAAATACTCACCAGGCAAACTATCTTGTATGAAGCACGAAAGAATAAAATCGTCATGCTAAGTTAGAGCAATTATTGAAAACAAAATCTACATGAAATTTTTCCCAGTATCCACTGAAGGTCGTCAAAGTATAAGCCGTCCACAATGCCGTAAATCCAATGCATATTCCAAATTTATGACAGAACAGCATTAAAATCAGGATTCGTTCTATGTGGGTTTTTGGCAACTGTCGATTGCGCCTTCAAAATGACAGATTTTCTAAAGTTTTTCCGATACGGAGAAACACTTGTTTGATAAGTAAAAATATCAATATCATACTGAGTCATCGAATCCTTTGATCCAGAAAATTTGTCAGGAATATAAATGGGGAAATATAAGTGACATCACGCCGCCAATGATTTATTTTTTCTCGTTCAATTCCCAAATATGTATGTATATACTGTTCAGATTATATAAAATTTATGATGATCACTAAAATTGATGATAAGTAGAATTGAAGAAATCCTAATTCATTTATTTACGAGTTACACACCGCGTATTATAATTTTTATTTTTTAGTTGGGATAATCAAATTATCTACATTTGTCATTTCCGTTTTATCAATAACGAGTTTCTTTGATTAGTAGAAAACAATTGCAATATCATGTTGAGTCGGTAATTCGTTTGTTCTTCTAAAATGATATGGGATAACCGATAACAGTTTGAATAAAAAAAACTCGAGTCTCTTCGACTCTAAATAATACTGTCTTGATAACAAGCTTTAAATTTATTGCCAAGTGCGTTTGAGTGGATTTATTTATCTACATTTATCGAATTTTAGTTTCCAAAATCATGATGTTAATGACTGTATATTATGTTACATTATCTCTATTATAAAGTTGCGATAATGAAATTACTGCATTTCACATTGTCGTTCATTCAAGATAGAGTTTCTTTGATTAGTGAATAACAATTGCAATAGCATGCTGAGTCAGTAATTCTTTTGTTCTCCGAAATGATATGGGACAACCGATAACAGTTTAAATGCGGAAGATAGCTTCTCCCAATCATAACGACTTCATTTCTAACTAAAATTTCTAATATAAAATTATATACGATGATAAATTTTATAGGAGTTTGGTGAATGAAACATCGTGTTTTCTAAATTTGGTATGCATATGATTTTTGAGGCAATAGGAAAAAGATAAAATGTGATGGGAATAATGCTAAAACTGTAATTTATTCAGCATAATATACGTTATCATCACAATAAAAAAATGATTTTTGATCTTAGTATTTTATATTAATATTTTCTTCGTCATAACAAGAGGTCAATGGACACGAAGACTCAATAACTAACTACGAGATACCGAAATGTTGCATGGTATTGAGTTCGTAAAATAAAATTGAAGTACAGCTGTGACGTTGATTTAGCAAAACGATACAAATGGCCACTCTAACACAGTACATATAGCCAACGCAATGTTTTGATTCAAGATCCCTGCGCAAGTTTCCATAATTTAACATATTTTGGTAATTAAAATTTTATGCAAAAATATCAACATCATGGAGTTTATACAACTTATAAGACAGCCGACTCTTTATTTATTGAGGCCAATTCATCTGATGTTGGCATTGAAAAGATGGTGTCGTGATAAAATATTCGTTGACCGCATTCACATATATATACATATATTGAAGTTTATATGGTACCTCGCGGCTTACCTTCCCCCGTTAAAATGTATGAGTATCTTTTTTATTCGTATTGTTTGTAAAACTGACTCTTTTACTGGTTGGAAAAATAAAATTGACTTCATTTGGCACAAATAAACTTGTTCACCACTAAATATATTTTGAAGTGTATCAGAATTTCTCATGTCCAAACTGGAAAAAAATAAACTTAAAACTTGATAGTATTTCCAAATATCATTATTCCTTGTAATAATAACGTTGAACATTTGTCACAACAAAAAGATTCACCGACTCAGCATGTTAAAGCAATTGTGACGGACTCTTATCAAAGAATTGGTAGTTTTACTGCAGTAGCATGCTGAGATGAGGCAAGGAAAATCTCCCTTGATGAAAAGGAAACGACTGATGTAGATGACCAGATGCTAGTCATTGTAAAATGAAGATAACAATACGCAATATACAGACATGGTTGATTAAATAACAGTAATGTCATGATGTAATTGGTATATAACTGGATGAAGTTAACTTCGTTTTCATTCATCAGATTTGTGCACAGACCAACGAATACCATTATAAATAATGTTTCGCTTCCAACAAAATCATCAAAATCAATGGGTGCAAGATCTTACTTCGTGGAGCTATGGTTCTAATTATACAGAGCAAGCTGAATCGACATTGGAAGCCACAGCTTCAGTAAAATCCCAATAATGATATGTTGCAATTCCAAGCAAACCCACCTAATTTAATAACCAACATTGATGCTCGTCTGTGCGACGAAGAACTTTGGCAAAAGTTTTCTGATGTTGGGACTGAAATGGTGTTGACAAGAAAGGAAGGTAAAAACAGTTCTTATTATTTTCAGATTTGTTTTTATATATTTCTGTTTTGCATTATTTTAACAATCTTAATTTTTGCAGGAGAATATTTCCAGGCTATCGAGTAAAGTTTCAGGATTGGATCCAAATGCGCTTTACAACGTGATGCTTGACATCGTCCAGATTGATTCGAATCGTATCAGAGATGTACCGATACCGATCCGATACCAGCTAAAAACGCCGATACCGATACGCCGATACTACAAAAAAGCCGATACAACCGATATTCCGATACCGATACTATGTAATTATTACTTAATTAGGTGTGCTGTGTAGGGCAGACGGGTTAAAACAATGGTCTTTGAGCGTTGTTCATAGCACACATTATTTCAGATCGGGAAAAAAAGAGATATATCACATAATATGAAATTGTTGTTTGGTATCCGGGTAATTTAACTGATTAAGATACATCGTACAGTGACGCTAGTAATCTCGGTGTTCAATTAGAAAAATCATAAGCCGGGATGTCCAATTCGAATTAATTGTTAATATCGCGACCTTCGAATATTGTTATTCGTGTTTAAAAGAATATCGAATATCGCCCACAAATTCTAGCGCCACCGTCCTACGTTCAAATTAGACCATTTTACAAATATTTCATTTTGTGGTAATCGTAATCGTCTCCGCAATAAAAAAAGCAACCATGAAAGAATATCAATCAGCACCGACAAGAAGAAGGCCTACCTATAATCTTCGAAGATGTTTTTTTACTTTACTATTTTATAATATTTTACTATTGCTATCATATATTTTGAGTCTAGGCGGTCATGTCAAAATATTTATAAAGAAATTGTGTAGTTAAACAAAATTAACATTAATACCTGCGTATACTGATAATTGTGTCGGAATTCAGTTTCAATCGATGTCGACGGGCTAAATGACAGTCGTACTTGACGACAAACAGTCAGAATTCATGGCCGTGCCAAAAGTCAATGTGCCTTTAATTAATAAGAAACTCCAATTCCACTGTATAATTTAAAACTGGGCGCCTAATTGCTTTTTGTTATGTGCTGTGTTGAGATATTTCTTCATAATTACTATGTAATATTAAAAATGTCAATGTAAAAATGTGACAGCGAAAATAGCCAAATTTATTGAGCTAGTTTGGCTGATAAATAGCTAAAAACAGGCGAATCCTATTCCCTCGCGGGGGTGAAGACATGTGTGGCTCCTAGCTCACGATCTCTCCAGACAAAAAATATTTTTGAAAAGTAGTATTCCAACTTAACTTTTGAAACATTCTGGACCATATCAAAAAGTTAAATATCGGCCTTAATCTAACCGATACCGATACATGGCCGATACCAAAAAAATGGCCGATATTGCCGAAACCGATACCCGATACCGCTACATCGGTACATCTCTAATCGATATAGGTTTCAGGTTTGTAGTTAATAGGAAATTCTCTTTAATAAATTCATAGTATTTTATATTTTATATAATATATTATAATAGAACACTTTATTTCATTAGAGCGGCAATGGATTGTCGGTGGAAAAGGAGAAATTCCCCATATACAAAACCACTACGTCATCCAATTTCCGAAGTTACTGGACAAAAATTGATGGAAGAAATTGTATCATTTCATAAAGTCAAGCTTACAAATACTACTGCAAATCGATCCCATGATACGGTACGTAAATAATAATTTTGGTTTATTCACTAATATCTCAATGTATAAAAAATGGAGTAAATATTCTGCACCGTCTTTCATAACGTATTTGCATTATTTTTCAGATTGTTCTCCATTCAATGCATCGGTATCAAATTCGTGTTCACCTCTCAAGATCAGACAATCAACAAATATTCAAACATTTGAATTTCCACAAACAACTTTCATCACTGTAACAGCTTATCAAAATTCCGAACTTTCTCAACTTAAAATAAAAAACAATCCATATGCTAAAGGATTCCGTGCTGATGGAAAAAGGAAAAACAAAAGAACGTGCTCAAATGAGGATGAATATTTCCATAACGTTTTAGAAACAAAGAAAGTATGCAAATGGATCAACAACAAGAATTGGAACGTAGCTACAATATTCATATAATTCATCTTTTGCAGTGGACAATACAGATTTCTGTTTTCGGTCGCAAGAACATTGCCCACTCAATATCTACAAAAACAATACTCCAACTCACCAGCCTTTACAAATGTATTTCAATTCTCCCAACTCAATTGCGTCGCAGGATTATGATCCCCAAACACTTTACTCTGGCGATTCTGCAACAATTAACGAAACACAATCTCCACAAAGTTTGGAAAGAGTCGACCACACCGAGACTTTGTGGAAAGACAACTTGTTAGATGAATTGTGTAATGACAATATTGTATATTATGACGATCCGGGATATGTTTCAGCATCTCCAGCTGAATTTTTAGATAATGATGATGTTTCGAAATTTCTGTTTGGAATCGAATCATGAGTTTTATTTTACAAATACTTAATTTAACTTCCAATATAGTTCCTTTATTTGAAATTTTGTAAAATAAATGATCAACCGATAGATATACTATGTGTTCGTTATTCCGATTGGTAGGCGAGTGAAAGTTTTATATGTTGTTAATTAAAACGTTCCTATTGTCAAAATTATTGGGAATCTCAGGGATAGTGGTCTTCATGCTCAAGCTCCTGAAAACCAGACATTTAAGTGAAAGAACTTTTCTCTAAAAACTGTTACCACCCTTTCCAAAGATGAGGTAATATTAATTTTATTTACAATTTTGCACTAAAGACGAAGAGCAGAAAAAAGACCAAATTACGTCGTATTCTCTAATATAACCGAATTGATTATTGAAGCTTAATTTGATATAAAGCTTACCAGGCTAGAAGATAGGAAAATGATTTTTCACTTAGAGTCTAGACGTTTTTCACCTTTATACAAATCTATGCAACTTGAATCTGTGCCACAAATACTCACCAGCCAACTATCCTGTATGAACCACAAACAATAAAAGCGTCATGCTAACTTAGAGCAATTATTGAAACAAAAGCTACATGAAATTTTTTCCAACCCACTGAAGGTCGTCAAAGTATAAGCCGTCCACAATGCCGTAATCTAATACATATTCCAAAGTTATGACAGAACAGCATTAAAATCAGGATTCTTTTATGTGGATTTTTGGCAACTGTCAATTGCGCCTTGCGCCAAAGTTTTCGATACGGAGAACAATTGTTGATAAGTAAAAATAGCAATATCATACTGAGTCAGCGAATCTTTGATCCAGAAAATCTGCCAGGAATATGAATGGAGAAATATACGTGACATCCGCCGCCAATGATTTATTTTTCTCGTTCTTTCCCAAATGTGTATGTATATACAGTTAGGATTATATGAAATTGATGATGATCACTAAAATTTATGATAAGTAGATTTGAAGAAATCCTAATTTATTTATCGAGACTACGTATTATTTTTTATTTTTTAGTAGGGATAATAAAATTATCTACATTTGTCATTTCGTTTATCAATAACGAGTTTCTTTGATTAGTAGAAAACAATTGCAATATCATGTTGAGTCGGTAATTCGTTTGTTCTTCTGAAATGATAGAGATAACCGATAACAGTTTGAATAAAAAAACTCGAGTCTCCTCGACTCTAAATAATGCTGTCTTGATAACAAGCTTTAAATTTATTGACAAGTGCGTTTGAGTGGATTTATTTATCTACATTTTTCGAATTTTAATTTCCGAATTCACGAGTTAATGACTGTATATTATGTTACATTATCTCTATTATAAAGTTGCGATAATGAAATTACCTGCATTTCACATCGCCGTTTATTCAAGATAGAGTTTCTTTGATTAGTGAATAACAATAGCATGCTGAGTCAGTAATTCTTTTGTTCTCCTAAAAGGATATGAGACAACCGATAACAGTTTAAATGCGGAAGATGGCTTCTCCCATTTATAACGAACTTCTTTTCTCATCTAAAATTTGATATAATTAACACGTGAGATATTTTATACAAGTTTGGTGAATGAAATATCGTGTTTTTTTTAAAGTTCGGTATGCATATGATTTTTGAGGCAATAGGAAAAAGAAATATATGTGATGCAAATAATGTTAAAACTGTGAATTCCTCAGCATATCTATACGTTATCATCACAATAAAAAAATGATTTTTGATCTTATTATTTTATCTTAATATATTCTTCGTCATAACAAGAGAGCAATTGACACAAAGGCTCAATAACTAACTACAAGATACCGAAATGCAAAACAAAATCGAAGTACAGCTGTGACGATGATTTAGCAAAACGATACAAATGGCCAGTACATACTCTACTGTACATACTCTAATACAGTACATATAGCCAACGCGAGGTTTTAATTCAAGATCCCTACGCAAGTTTCTTTAATTTAACATATTTTGGTCATTAAAATTTTGCGTAAAAAATCAACATCATGGAGTTTATGCAACTTATAAGACAGCCGACCATATATTTATTGAGGCCAGATACTTCTGATGTTAGCATTAAAAAGATTATGTCTTGATAAAATATTCGTTGACCGCATTCACATATTGAAGCTTTCTTCATATGAGTTTATATAGTCCCTCGCGGCTTTCCTTCCCCAGTTGAAATGTATGATTATCTTTTGTTTTCGTATTTTTTGTAAAACTGACTTATTCGCTGGTTGGAAAAAATAAAATTGACTTCACTTGGCACGAATAATCTTGTTTTCCGCTAAAATATATTTTGAAGCGTATCAGAATTTCTCTTCAGCCCAAACTGGAAAAAGATAAACTTAAAATTTGATAGAATTTCCAAATATCATTATTCCTTGTAATCACAACGTTGAAAATTTGTCACAACAAAAAGATTTACCGACTCAGCATGTTATAGTAATTGTGATGAACTCTTATCAAAGAATTGGTAGTTGTACTGCAGTAGCATGCTGAGATGACCCAAGGAAAATCTCCCTTGATGAAAAGGAAACGACTGATGTAGATAACCAGATGCTAGTCATTGTAAAATGAAGATAACAATACGCAATATACAGACATGGATGATAAAATAACAGTAATGTCATGATGTAATTGGTATATAACTGGATGAAGTTAACTTCGTTTTCATTCATCAGATTTGTGCACAGACCAACGAATACCATTGTAAATAATGTTTCGCTTCCAACAAAATCATCAAAATCAATGGGTGCAAGATCTTACTTCGTGGGCTATGGTTCTAATTATACAGAGCAATGAATCGACATTGGAAGCCACAGCTTCAGTAAATCATCCCAATAATAATATGTTGCAATTCCAAGCAACAAACCCACCTAATTTAATAACCATAATGCTCGTCTGTGCGACGAAGAACTTTGGCAAAAGTTTTCTGATGTTGGGACTGAAATGGTGTTGACAAAGAAAGGAAGGTAAAAACAGTTCTTATTATTTTCAGATTTGTTTTTAATATATTTCTGTTTTGCATTATTTTAACAATCTTAATTTTTGCAGGAGAATATTTCCAGGCTATCGAGTAAAGTTTTCAGGATTGGATCCAAATGCGCTTTACAACGTGATGCTTGACATCGTCCAGATTGATTCGAATCGATATAGGTTTCAGGTTTGTAATTCATAAGAAATTCTCTTAAATAAATTTATAGTATTTTATATATTATATTATAATAGAACACTTTATTTCATTAGAGCGGGCAATGGATTGTCGGTGGAAAAGGAGAAATTCCCCATATACAAAACCACTACGTCCATCCAATTTCCGAAGTTACTGGACAAAAATTGATGGAAGAAATTGTATCATTTCATAAAGTCAAGCTTACAAATACTACTGCAAATCGATCCCATGATACGGTACGTAATAAATAATTTTGGTTTTATTCACTAATATCTCAATGTATAAAAAAGTGTAGTAAATATTCTGCACCGTCTTTCATAACGTATTTGCATTATTTTTTCAGATTGTTCTCCATTCAATGCATCGGTATCAAATTCGTGTTCACCTCTCAAGATCAGACAATCAACATAATATTCAAACATTTGAATTTCCACAAACAACTTTCATCACTGTAACAGCTTATCAAAATTCCGAACTTTCTCAACTTAAAATAAAAAACAATCCATATGCTAAAGGATTCCGTGCTGATGGAAAACGGAAAAACAAAAGAACGTGCTCAAATGAGGATGAATATTTCCATAACGTTTTAGAAACAAAGAAAGTATGCAAATGGGATCAACAACAAGAATTGGAACGTAGCTACAATATTCATTATAATTCATCTTTTGCAGTGGACAATACAGATTTCTGTTTTCGGTCGCAAGAACATTGCCCACTCAATATCTACAAAAACAATACTCCAACTCACCAGCCTTTACAAATGTATTTAAATTCTCCCAACTCAATTGCGTCGCAGGATTATGATCCCCAAACACTTTACTCTGGCGATTCTGCAACAATTAACGAAACACAATCTCCACAAAGTTTGGAAAGAGTCGACCACATCGAGACTTTGTGGAAAGACAACTTGTTAGATGAATTGTGTAATGACAATATTGTATATTATGACGATCCGGGATATGTTTCAGCATCTCCAGCTGAATTTTTAGATAATGATGATGTTTCGAAATTTCTGTTTGAAATCGAATCATGAGTTTTCTTTTCAAATACTATAATTTACCTTCCAATATAGTTCCTTTTATTTAAAAATTTTGGAGAATAAATGATCAACCAATAGATATACTATGTGTTCGTGATTCCGATTGGTAGGCGAGTGAAAGTTTTATATGTTGTTAATTAGAACGTTCCTATTCTCAAAATCCTTGGGAATCTCAGGGATAGTGGTCTTCATGCTCAAGTTCCTGAAAACCAGACATTTAGGTGAAAGAGAACTTTTCTCTAAAAACTGTTACCACCCTTTCCAAAGATGAGGTAATATTAATTGTAATTTACAATTTTGCACTGAAGACGAAGAGCAGAATAAAAGACCAAATTACGTCGTAATTCTCTCAATATAACCAAATTGATTATTGAAACTATCTTGTATGAACCACAAAAGAATGAAAGCGGCATGCTAACTTAGAGCAATTATTGGACACAAAAGCTACATGAAATTTATTCCAGACTCACTGAAGGTCGTCAAAGTATAAGCCGTCCTCAATGCCGTAAATCTAATACATATTCCAAAGTTATGTCAGAACAGCATTAAAATCAGGATTCTTTCTATGTGGATTTTCGCAACTGTCAATTGCGCCTTCAAAATGACAGATTTTCTAAAGTTTTTTCGATACGGAGGAACAATTGTTTGTCAAGTAAAAATAGCAATATCAGTCAGTGAATCCCTTGATTCAGGAAATCTGTCAGGAATATAAATGGAGAAATATAAGTGACATCACGCGGCCAATGATTTAATTTTTCTCGTTCTATTCCCAAATGTGTATGTATATACAGTTAGGATGATATACAGTCATATGAAATTGATGATGATCACTAAAATTTATGATAAGTAGATTTGAGGAAATCCTAATTTATTTATTTACGAGTTACACACTACGTTTATAAGTTTTATTTTTTAGTAGGGATAATCAAATTATCTACATTTGTCATTTCCGTTTTATCAATAACGAGTTTCTTTGATTAGTAGAAAACAATTGCAATATCATGTTGAGTCGGTAATTCGTTTGTTTTTCTGAAATGATAAGGGATAACAGTTTGAATAAAAAAAATCGAGTCTCCTCGACTCTAAATAATGTTGTCTTGATAACAAACTTTAAATTTATTGATAAGTGCGTTTGAGTGGATTTATTCATCAACATTTTTCGAATTTTAATTTCCGAAATCTTGATGTTAACGACTGTTTATTACGCATTTTTATCTCTATTATAAAGTTGCGATAATAAAATTATCTGCATTTCATATAGCCGTTCATTCAAGATTGAGTTTCTTTGATTAGTAATTGACAATTTTATAGCATTCGTGGCTTCCACGAGTATTTATGCAGATCTGTGATCTTTTGCAGTAGTGTGTTGCAGTAGTTATCTATACATTCGTTATAATTTCGTCCGTTTGAGTCACCATGAATTATTTAGCAAATTTTACGAAGAACATTTTCAGTCAATTTTAATTGAACAGTCTTTGATAACGGCAAATAATTAAAACTGTGCTATAGCTACTCTTTCATCAAAAGGATATGATTAGAAGAATTTTATTGAATTTTTCTTTTTCAGTTTTTCATTTTTCACTAATAAGATATAAAAAGATAATATAATATAATAAACAAACAAAAACAAGATCACTTTGAAAATGTGAAATCAAAAATAAAACAGAGTAAATATTTTGCTGTATGCTGGCCTGGTCAGACAAACTATCACGTGAATTTGCTGTATTTGAAGTATTTACGGGACCTAATAACCAGTAACAATATAATGTTCGCAAGCGGTCGAATACGGAACTGTAATCACCTCAAATCAACACTGTCATTAACGCGGGGTAAGAATATAACATAAAGAAAATAAAATTCATTACGACGTTTTGCCATTGAATTACCGATTGATTTTTGAAGATCTTAAATCCTTATTTCTTGAAACATGTTTTTATTACCATTCCACGTTAATAGTGTTTTACTGCAAGAACGATATATATAGGAAAAAACCTGGTTCAAACCTCAATTGACGACGCACCACACAGTAGGAAATATTGATTAATTAACTGCTCCAAAAATAGCAAAAGTACGAATACTTTTGCAGTGTTTAACTGTGCTATGATGTGCGATCCGATTCCCCCATATGCATTCATCTATATGCGTGAATTCGTTGTTATGGATGATAACATAAGCTCCTCACGGGATGAACATCAAAATATTGGATAACATTTTGAGCCATTTCCGGTGTATCCAACCTGGCAGGAACAAACGTAGGTGCCAGGTATGTTGGAGCAAATTCCATTGTTTTCGTCACAATTATTTGAGTCAGGTTGCAAGCATTCATCAAAATCTGAAATATATGGGGGAGGGGGAGGGGGGGATGTAAAATTCACCATGAAGTCATTTGAAAATTTGTTCATCGATTATGTAGTGTAGTTTATCACTCGTTTTTGAATCCATTTTTACTATTTTGCATATCACCAGCAGCCCAGCACTGGATCACAGTTTGGTATTCGGTAAACAGAATTTATATTATTCAATATCGAACTTTTGTACTCCACTCAATAATTTAAGTTTGTCATATATAACCATTTCCAATGGAACGAACCTTTGCATAATACTCCATTTCCAACGTAGCCTTGTTTACACGAACACTTGTAACCACCACGTTTATTGCGACAAGATGCATATTTACTACATTTGTGCGTATTCATCTTACATTCATTCAAATCTGAGAAAATAAGTGGCGAATATTTATATTACTTGTATTGCCATCGTAATATTTACGAAGCATGTTTGTTTGTTTTTCGAATGCCGTTGTTTTTGAGGAATCCTCCAAAGGAGACTGTTTTTTACAACAAAACACAAAATTCTTGAATTTTGAAGGAGTATCTTTTACGCATGAGACGTATTTGAATGTAATGTATTTTTGAAAACAAAAATTTAAACTGTGCTGAACTTTATTACTTATTTTAGCAAAAGTATTACACAATTTAGTCTACTCCAGCAATCAGAGAACATTTAATCAGTACCTCTACATCCCCTTTTCGACTTTGTTAATCCTTTTCTACAAAGACATTTGTAGCTTCCACGTGTATTTATGCAGATCTGTGACCTTTTACAGTTGTGTGTTTTGTCTATACATTCATTTACATCTGAAGACATTGAGTAAGTCAGTATTTATTCCATTTTAACACGCAACAATTAGGGAGAGATAAATATAAGTATTTAAAAAAAAAAGAGTAAGTCTTTGTAGGCAAATATAGCAATGGAAAATGGCCATGTTATCGAGCTGTGACACTTAATAGTTTGACACTCAACATTTTGCCTCGTGTTGTCCACTGATCAACTCGAAAAATATTTTATGATGGACTAAGTTTATGACCTGAAATTCAAAACAGTAGAATCCTACTAATCAGTAGCTAACTGTCTGTTTTTGTGGTGTAACATCTGGGCGAAGCTCCAGAACGCTTCATGCAAAAGTATGTAAATATTTTTATCGAAGTGTATTCATCTAATAAATATTATATATCAATAAAGAAAAAAACTATTTCAAACAGTAATGTAAAGCCTGGCCGTCAACATTGAAGCAAAACTTTTATTTTGTTCTAGAATTGGATAATTCTTCAAACCTTGACACATATTATCAATGTATTTCATTCCTTTTGGGCATTCACAAGTGTACGATCCATTCGTATTAACACAGGACGATTCTTCTGGACATTTAAAAATTCCTACCTCGCATTCATTATCATCTGAGTGAAAAAATATTGATCAATGTAGTAAAGAATAGTCATAAGTATAAATTTAAAAATAACGAAGTATTTCACATTAAAAATGCAAATAACTGCGCGCAAATTTTCATTTATAAATTTGCTAGACTGAATCCTCTTTATTTTAATTTATATATATTATTATCTTTTTTATAAATTGGATATGAGTGGATTGTGAAGCTAAAAACGTAATACACAATGTCACAAAATTCATGGCATGGGGTAATAGTGGACGAAGCAGGTCACAAAAAGTTCAGGTATATAGCTAGACCGCAAATCATACCACGGCACGAAGACTCCTTGTAAGTATATCCTTCTTCGCATGTACATTCATATGAACCCTCAGTGTTTTTACAATCAGCACCGGGACAAACTTCGATGCCTTTCATTGAACATTCGTCAACATCTATTCAAATCACCGAAAAACAAAATAAAACATTGCAGTGAAATTTTGAGTTAGTGTGGGGTAGCTTGCAATCCCATTTTAGCACTAAAATAAAAAAAAATACGATCAAATATGCTACGAGGCGTTGGATAATAAAGTACGCATGCACGCAAGACTCGCGAAGTGCAGCATATAAAGTCATTAAACAGCTAAATCAAAAAGGTGGCGCAGTATTCAATAAAAAAATAAGACAGATGGTACTAAATCGATTCTCATGCTGAAGTATAAACAACCACTACGAAAGAATCATCATACCGACACACTGTACTCCGTCTCCATGGTATCCAAACTTGCATCTGCATTCATAGGATCCAAATGTATTAACACATTCAGCTTTTTCGTTGCATATGCTTCTGATTTCGCATTCATTTATTTCTAGAAACATGCATGCATCGATGAAACACCAATTATTTATTACATACGAATAAAATAAATTATATCTATTTCACAATTTGCGTTGGCTTACCAAACTAAGTAATCATATATATATATATATTAATCTCGTGGTAAATTACCTTGACAAATTCCTCCAACCATTTTGTATCCAAAGTCGCAGACACATTCGAAGCCATCCTCGGTCTGCGTACATTCAGAACTTTGAGGACAGGCCCTTTGTTTACAAATGTGAGAGCCTGATATAAAAATATTGTGCAAAATTATCAACTTAGAAATTTATTTTTATATCGATTAATGATGGTATCGACTATATTCATTTGAAGCCATATTTCGCCAATTGAAATAAATACTGTACTTGTTTTTTACCAAATCACTAAAACTACAGTACACAAATAGTATGTGCACGTCAAATGCTTTCTTTTTATGTTCAATATATATTATTGCTCAGTTTTGAGTACTGATTCAAACTGACTATGGAACGCACATTTGGCAGACATAGATGGCAAACATGGAATGAAAATGTCTGTCTTCCGTACAATTTTCATATAAGAATATTTTACCCGTCTTTGCAAATACGTATTTCCCATCGCTGACTTTGAACCCGCTTTTGGATACAAATGAAAAAATATATTCTGTATTTTCTTCCAATCCTGTGACATGAGTTTCCGTGCTCTCGCCGGATAGTTCAAAAGGAGATTTGGGGAACGACGACGAAGTCTAAAATATATGTAAAATAAATGTATTGAAATATATAGAATTTGATTGAGAGTCAGCTCGTATGTCAAAATTATTAGTATAATATTCATGTTTTCACGACTTTTACCGGAATAAAATGAACAATATTAAAATGTAAATGAGTTTATACAATGTATGTATATTAAGTACTATTCAACAAACATTACCAGCAGGTGGCTAATAATAAATTCTCAAAGGTAAGTTAGTTTATTCAATACTATTGATATTAATACTATTATGACATGTTGCTTACCTCAGGAAAATAAGTAACTTCATACATTTGGCGATCACCAAGAGGCTTTTGCCATCTAAAATGCAGTGATGTTTTGTCTGGATTTGTCGTTCGAATATTCTGAATATCAGCTGGGGCTGTGGGAAGAAGAAGTAAGTAAAAATTGGACAGCTTGTGGTTAAAACTTTACCCATGGCTGTGATATACTTGGGATAATCTCATAGATACAGATGACGAGTTGTTTTATTTGGTGTCAGACATTCATTAAGTTTCATACTTGTCATTGACATTCACCCTTGGGATAGATCTGTGTATTTCTCCGTCTAAAAGTAGAATAGCCTACGACCAATGCCTTTCTTCGGGTTCCAAAAGTAACTTTTATGCACTCTCCTTATGCATTTATATAAAACATATAAAACCTATATACAGGGGAGTGCCAAACTTGCACCCACGTACATTTGCAACCGGAGACATTTGAACCCTAGACATTTGCACCCCCCCGTACATTTGCACCCACAGACATTTTCACCCATGGACGTTCGGGTTTGTAGTGAGTTCGTTTTCATTACAAAATATAACATTAGGATGTCCCTATTTCGGCACAATTGGCAATAGAATTTCTTTTACTTCAAAGACTGATATAAATGGGTGTAAATGTTTACAGGTGCAAGTGTCCATAGATGCAAATATTCGTGTGGGTAAATGTTCATGAGTGCAAATGTACGAGGGTTCAATTGTACGTTGGTGCAAATGTCTGCTAGTGTCCATGTCCACGGCTGAAAATGTCCGTGGGTGCAAAAGTACATAGGTGCAAATGTCCGTGGACTCAAATGTCTGTGGACTCAAGGTTCAAATGTTCGTGAGTGCAAATGTACGTGAGTGCAAATGTTCATGGGTGAAATCTGTATGATGGGTGCTAAAATCAGCGGGTGCAATTGTTCATGTGTGCAAATGTCCGTGGGTGCAAAAGTATGCAGATACAATTGTCCTGGATGCAAATGTACGTGCAAAGATAATGGAACTCAATGATTATACTGTGTTCTCATATAGTTTAATTACAGTAACCAAAATTAGCCCAAAAGTAGCTGTGATAGACAAGGCTAAACTTTTCTACCGGTGCTTTTAAATAACCGGTGAATATTTTGAATAAAATGATTGTTTAAAACATAAAAAGGCGTTAATCGCGAACCACCCTTAAAATGAGCACCAAAAATGTTGCAATTGTATACTATGATAGGAAGAATTTTTCTGGGGTCAATGGTCCGGGAAACATCTACTGTTGACTCACCATCACAACAGTCAGTCACACAAGACTAAACAAATAATGTCAGTTTTTAATAAAAACACATCGAAAAAAACATGTGTAATAACGCCAACTCTACAGCTTGGTTTTGCTGCCCCCTACAATTTGTTGCCCGGAGCCCCTTTTGCCCCAATTAGGCACGCCACTGCCCATATATATTTGCATATATAAATATTTATATATTTTTCGAAAGAGTCAAAACATTACCTAACGTAACGGTGATGGTGCTACCGGGTCCATAAAATTCTCCATCCCAGACTCTAGCTGTGAAATTGTATGTTTTTCCAGGAAGGAGATTTCGAACATATATTTTTCGTTTTTGTCCTGAAACATCAATTTTACTCGGCTTTGCAGGAAACTTCCTCTTAGCTGCTGATGATGCATGCTTCAGTTTGACTACAGAAGCTGACTTTTTCTTTGAATCATCTTTCGTTACGTCTTCTACTTGTTCTTCTTCATTCTCGATTTGGGGTGCTACTTCGACCTTAAATGACCAAAATTCAGATAATCTTACATTACCATCATGTATTGGTGCTATCCGACGTTAGACCCCGATGACAATAATGAATGGAATACAGTATTTGCTAAAGCCTAATAAATGACATTTACTGAATCAATTGCAACAAGTCAAGTCAAGCTTCGAGCGAAACTTGGTGGCAATTTATTCTACATTGACCTCTCAAGCTATTTCATGAATTGTTGAACAAATTTTGAAATGTTGCTAATATTTCAACTGTTGTTACCTGTATCATTTTGTTTACATTCTTCTTCCGTTTTCTCCACGATATTTGAACTGTTGTGGATGACACAGGTTTTGCCCTCAGTCGGTTAACACTGGCTAAAGTAAAGTAATTATATGTGAAATATGCATAAAAGCTGCGCAGGTGTGTCTGGATCAAGGCACTTGTTATAGACTGCCCATGCTGATCTAACCTTGATTAATACGCAACTATGAGCCTGTAAATTTACTGTTTAAAAATGAAATATATCAAGTATGTCTTATACCTTTGTTCAGTGGCATGGACATAGGAGAAATTATAGATACAGACATTTTCACATTTCCTGAGTACTCCAATATCCGATATATATATATATATATATATATATATATATTGTTTACTTATAGAAAAGTGTGAATGATAAATAAAAACATGACTCTAGCTATATACAAGCGAACACTTTATACTTATCGATCTTAAGATCGGTAAGTATGTTGATAGGTATTTGTCTGTCTGTTTGTCTGTTTGTTTGTCTGTTAGTTAGATGAACGCGATACTCAAGAAGGCGAGGTCGAATCTGCTCCGCACGTGCATTCATTATATCTCGGACCAGAAGCCTATTGATTTTGAATGAATTATGTCGTATAATTAGCGAGTTATTAATTAATTAGTGATGGGAGACGCGGTGTCACTATATGGTCATGATTCGAAACCGCAGTTTCGATCGATATGTCTTCGGTCTCCGACCGATATTCTCGTTTAATTTGTTTGTCATAAAATATAGTAAATAGATATTAATTCTGCACCCAACATTCACAATAATGACGACGTCGCTGCTTTTGATAAAATACGCCTCCATGGCTAATAAAAACAGATGGAGTTTAATGCGACGCGTATGGATATGGTTGTTAGGTCTATTTTTTGTGCTCTGGGACGAACGTATGCCGAATATCTGAACCCCACAAAGAGCTTGAACAAATTTTCTCACCATTAACGATTATATGATCAAAGTACTAACCAGCATGCGCGCATAAGAAAGTCCGTAGTTGTAATATATATAGAGTACAAACACTATGACTCCATTTATACTCAAAAACAATTTCACTACATTTATATTAGCATCAGCTAATCATTAGCTGCTAATGGTTTAAAACTTTTAACTAACTTCTACCTGTCCAAATTCTTTACTTACCAAGATCAGGTGGTGGAATCGGCCGAGCACGTCGTATCCAGAGTCCTCGTAATTTTGAAGGCGACTGTAAAATGAAGAGTGAAATATGTCATTTGATTTTGTAACATCATAGTTAGGTATATGTTATGAAAGATACCAGGATACTGATTCTGGGATTTATAAAACATCGGTACACTAGTACCACAGCAACAATAGCACTGACACATAAACAGTAAAGTATGCAGCTACTAAAAGATTACAACTAATAAATCAAAATTCTTCGAAATCGGAAAAACTTCAGCAGATTTCATTGGTGATTCTTTTTGAAACTGTTCAGTAGACAATAGGCTTTGCCGCCACAAACTCGGCTGACATCAATGCGGCATGCATAGTAATTCATTTAATTTATTGGCACTATCAATATTTCAAATACCCAACGTTTCTAACAAAGTAGTATATATATATATATATATATATATATATGATTACACCAAAATTTAAAGTTACTCTTCAACTAACCGGCGTTGGTTTTTCGTCTTGCGATGGCGATGGTGTTGTCTCATAATTGGAATTTGGGATAGTAATGGCATTGAAACTCGGTATTGGCAAATTTCTGCTTGTTTCTGCTTTCATATCTTCTTTTTCAAAATTAGTTTTGCAAGTGCTTGGATTTAAACTAGCTCCAACTGTAGATTCTAAAGATCGGGAAACAACAAAACAAAGTAAAAATATAATTCAGAAACTTTAAAAGTATGAATATTCATACATTCGGTTCGGTGGTCCTTAATATAACCACATTATAAACAGAAGGTAATGCAATAGATGGTAACTAACTGCGTTGTCGAGTGTGATAAGTCACTGCTTCATGTGCGTTTTCATGTATCTCCCAGAAGTTGTTGGCCTTAGAGACCAATTGAACCCAACGCTCGTAATTTGGTATAAAAGCAATGCAATGTACAGATTTCAGTCATGGGCAAAGATGCAAGATACACTAAACTCAAACTGCAGATTTATTGTAATATATATATACGTGTTTGTCTTTATTTTACCAAATCGTTGGCTCTAGATATCGCAAAGTTCTTTCTTTTTGTTGTGTATAACAAACGTTCATATCCAAACTATACTGTCAGTTGGCTTTTGCAGTTGGTTTATATAATGAATATACCTTTTACTGAATTACCCTGAAACTGCATTATTACTCACCTTCATATACGACATGGTATTGAGAAGTATCAAAACAATCTATTGTATGAATAACCGTTGTAAAATGTAACGTCATTCCGATAAAATTATGATCATTTTGCCATCCCACCTGAAAGTAAATTACAAACTTCAAGTATATTACAAACTTAAATCAAAAGCCAATTAAAAAATCGTTTACCAGCGGAAATAATCGTTACTCGTTTCTTGCCTGTTACCTGTTTAAATGAGAATAATCCCTTCTTTGGATTACTCATTTCTTGAACAGCACATGCATGCCAGAATTGCGCACTAGATAATGAGCATTGCGAGGGAATCAAAAATCTGAGAATCCAAGGCCCTGGGTTATCTATCTTGATATGTTTTAAGTTGATATGAGCTTGACCACCAGATGTCCAACGATTTACCCACGTGAATATCTCATCATCGGCTTTAAAAAAATAAGATGACAAATATCACGAACATAAAATATTTCTCAAAAAATTTCACATTCAGAGCACACTCGAATTTGGCTGTAATCTCCGATTAAACTGTAAGCAAAATTGAGGACCAAAGTGATTAGCAAGTATAATTAACGGAATCAAGATGTGCTGCTTCATGTAATTCATCTTCATATTTGAATATTTATTTCAAAATGGAAACAATATGAACCTATTCAAGAATAAAGATATTATTTCAAACACTGAACTATCAGACTTGACAAACTATTATGTACAATCATATTTTAAATGAGATACCAACCTGGAAGTAGTCCCAATTCATCGACAATGTCAACAGAATCTAAGGAGTAAAAAGAGCAAATTATACATTTTATAAACAGAACTTTAACTATAGTTTGAGGCGAGTGAGTGCCATTGATATGGCACGTCACCAAAACACTCAAAACTGAAGTACACTCTACAAATCAATGTTGATCTTATAAAACTTCTCACCTCCATCTGGTACACGTTTCTCTGCAAGTATTGTGGGTAACACCTTTTCCTCAAATATTGTATTGCCATCTAGGAATAGATAGAATTTATGTTTGCAACATAAGTATGTTAATAATCGACAAGTTTAGAATGCACTCATACCGATATTTCGATCTTCTTTCAGAGGCTTGATTGTCTCATATACTGGCTTTGCCGTTGTCGCTGTACATAATTATAATTTTGATATATTGAATTTATTTAAAACATATTTAAACATCGCTACATATAACAAATTTTTAACAAGTAGTACATATTGCAATCAATGTACAAACATTACAAAATTTGTTTTGGTTCAGATAAATTAAACTTTATTGGTATACATTGTGAAATTTTACAGTTATTTCAAATAACTCCAGGGAGCCAATTCCAATTATCAAAACTTGCAGGCAATTACTAAAAGTTGCAGGCAAGCAACATCGTAAACTAAAGCTTATCATCAACTAAGTTAGGCATTAATCAATGAATGCATTAAGGCATTCATGAACGTATTTTAAAAAAGGAATTGAGAGAGACAAAAACAACCACATTTTTTTCAACATTTCACTCACTTGAAGTGGACAGGTCGACTTCTGGAATTGATTTTGTACAAAGTGGTGAATTCGGAATTTCTGTTAAATATAAATTTCAGTAGAGTTACTTCACGACGTAAAACAATTTGATCAAATGCAAAATAGTTGCTTTTTCGATTCATATTGTAGAGAAGTAGAATTATATAATTACCTTGATCTGATATTTTGAATCTGAAATTTGAGGTCTTGAAACACGATTGCATAAAATCCGGGTTCGCGATCTCGAATTTTATTCCAAGAAATTTTTGGTTTGTTTGCCATCCGAATTGTTGCATGACTATTGTTCTGTCCGCTAAAGAAGATATTGATGGAACGAGACAAGTGTGCCAGACCTAGTAAATTGAGCTTTTGTTAAGATAAATTTGGAGACCTTAATTTATTATTATTGCATTGTGGTAGCATATATATACCCCAGCTAAGTTTGAACAACAATTTGAATTATGTTTCTCAAATTTAGATTTCATTCAGATATATGTTACTTAAAAATATAATCGAAAGTAGATAGGAAAGCATGATAAACGAATACTATAAAATATCATATTATAGACTAATTCAAATAAAGAAAGCATTTTTTTTTATTTCGTGGTTCGTCTATACTATTTCAATGGGACTGCGCCGCCGTAAATAGAGTTAAATCCGCGATTAATAAACGTTTGTATGAAGTGTTTTTGAAGTAAATTAAGAAAGCATACTTCAACTAAAACCAATGGACAATCTGACGGAAATATAAGATGAAGTTGTTTTCTTCCTTCGTACATTTTACTTGGGAGATGAATGTGAACCTGTGCACCATCGGGCCACGTAGATACCCATTCTATTTCCGGATTCAGTTCTAAAAAATGCTCAAAGGTAATATCTTGAAAATCAGAATGGCGTTAGATAAGTAACAAGATAGTAACGCTAAAATATACGATCACGGAAGTCGCCCATCGGTACGCTTACAGTAAGGCATGACCGCACCGAGTTTACTAAAAAGATCTGGAGACGAGCAATACAGTTCACTTAGATTAAAATGAAATAGCAAATTTTAGAATGAAATATCAGGAACCCATAAGATGGGTGAAATTGAAATAAAATAAAGTATTCTAGTGGCTTTCCCATTTTTTAGGCCCGAAAATTTGAAAAAAATTGGTTCATTAGTTGCTGATAAAATCATCTGGGAAAGAACAGCAAGAATGACAACACTAATTTAACAAGACTATCCATGGGTCGGTCCATTTCGTGTCCAATAAAATACAAGAGAGACAAAAACGATATTGGAGATGAATAAGATTAAGAGCTAAAGAGTGTATAGAGAGAAGGACAGACAGAAATAAAAGAGTGTGATGAAGGAGGAAACGAGAATAAAAAAGAGAAGAAATTGTAAAAAAGTGAGAAATTAGCAAATTGGAAAGTAGAAAAAATAAATAGTACTCACTATTTTCACACAATGTTCCATACGTATTTTCTTCGCAAATGCACTCAAAGTTCATGTCTACTGTATTTATACATTCACCTCCATTCTGACACGGATTGGATATGCATGCTGTGAAACAAAAGATTTTATTGAAAATATTTTTCACATCATAGAAATATGGATGAACTTTAGCTTTATATACTCACCGTCGAAGAAATATTCGATGTCAGAATCTGCAAAAATCTTCCTCAAAGAAGTAGAATCTAGATCCTTAAATAATTTAATATAGAGTTGTAAAGTTCTGAATGTGTTGTGGATTTTATTTTTATTTTTTCTAGTTTTTAATGAATGAAAAAATAACCATAATGTACAATATCTGTCAGATGTAAAAAATTATTGCATCTTCGATCCCAATTGTCATTTTTCTCAAAATAGGAATGACTGAATATACCCTTTAAATTGGAAATTTTCGATGACATTTTTTTGATTATTTAGTAATATTTAGCCAGAACCTATTTAAATGTTGTTCTTTTTAAATAAAAATCTACATACTCCCGTTTCCCAAATAGATCCTGAACCAGCACCAGAACTTTCCATCTCACCATCATTGAACATAATTAATCCAGCAAGTGTTGATTGAAACGCAGCATTGTATAAAAGATTTGGTTGATTAAGTTTAATATTCTCCCTTAAAATAAAGATGTCAGAATACAATTTTGGAAATTTAAAAACTGTGTAATATTTTAATGATCGTCGCTAACCTGTGATCATCGAAAACCCCGAACTGATCTGTACCTCCTACTAATGCTCCTTTGATTTCGTTTGTATTTGGAATCGTAGAGTCGTGAAAGAAATCCCAACCACAATTTTGAGGCGGGTCCGGGCATGAACTGAAAAAATACAAGAAAGGTTTCAAATAAAATCATAATTTTCAACTAGATTATATCGATATTTGAAGCATTCAATTTAATTTCACGTGATTTAGAACAAGTAAACTGTATCTAACATGGTGACCGTACATTTGAACCCATGTACATTTGAACCCATGCGTATATCCACGGGTTCAATCTATATGCGGGTGCTAAAACCCATGGGTTAGGGTTAGTATGGGTTTAACTATCAGTGAAACAAAAAAAATTCCATAGGTGCAATAGCACATAGGTTCTCAAAGTGCTCCGTACGGAGCCCCAGGGCTCCGCGAGAGAAACCCAGGGGCTCCGCGAGCTATTCGATTACTCTTCAAAATACTGACTCAAAATTTTGTAACTGTTCAAAGAAGCAATAACAGCTTTGATAACATCTGACAACAATATAGCCTCGAAATATGGTAAAGGGCCGGAATTAAAAAATGACATTATTTATGAGCAGTAGCGCAGCCAGGATTCTTAAGAGGGAGGTGGTTCAAAATTGGAATCGGAAATTTCCGCGCAACATTTTTCGCGAATAAAAAAACGGATAACGAGATTTCTGTTGCGTAAAATATTCAATCCAAGACCGAGGGAGCATTTGACGTGTCTCGTCGGTATAATGTAGTTGTGCTCATCGTTACTCACGTTTGATTCGAGATTACTATTAGGATTACTAAAATGAAAGAATACTATTCTAAAATAACATAAAATATGTGATAAACTGCCAACTATAAATAAATTGGTGTCGTATTTTTGCGATCTTGGTATTTGTCAAACTTGATTTGTTCTTTCGCACTTGAGATTATTTTTAAGCAAGATATCGCTGTTTAAAAAATCACAATGTCTGGGGAAAATACGAACAATTGAATATTATTTTATTGCATTCAGCTCCGTCGGTAGTTTCAGAATGAAAAAAGGTACATCGCGGATCGCGCGCACCATTGATTGCGTGCGGCTGCGTCGGTAGTTTCAGAATGAAAAAAAAAGGTAAATCGCGCGCACAATTGACTGTGTTTCGATTTCGCAGCTACTACGATGAAAACCTAACATAACACCAAATTTTGTGATTTACAATGTCTATAGAAGCGTTTTCAATCTGAGGTGAGTCTGCTGAAACCAAAGTGTGATCTTCCATTTTAAGTTTCAGTTTAAATATTTTAGAATGCCGCTTTTCAATCAAGAAATTTGAGTTGTGGATTTACCTTTTTATTGATTATTATTTTTAGCATTTCGTCGCCGATGACTATAATATGGTAACATGTTTTTCACATTGAACTCATAATTCCCCACGAGAACAAAAAAGCAATTAACGTCGTCATTGTGTAACAATACATGTATATGCCGAGGGAAATTTTTGATTTAGGGAGAATAAACAGCGGCGTAAAGATGTTTAAAACACGCCATGCTGACGGAAAAAATCGGCGATTGTAACAAAATGAAATAGCGCACGTTACTAACGGCCTTTTAATTAAGTCTTCCAAAAATGTCAAAAAAGAAAAGATTCAGCATTTAGAATAAATAAAGTACTTTTAACTTGCTCGGGAATAATAATCTGAAAGTAACAATTTTAAAATTTATTTTGGGGCTCTGCGAATAATATTCAACCTTTCAAGGGCTCCGCAACACCAAAAGTTTGAGAACCCCTGCAGCATACAGGTGCAATTGTCATGGGTTCAAATGTACGTGGGTTCAAATGTAATGGAACCATCTAACATATAATTATTTTCTTTGGAATCGAACTTTTACATAGAAAATACTAAACATCTAATTGAGTAGCATTCTCTTTGATTGTTATAATTTCCGAATACTGTCATAGGCAACGAATAAATATGTTTCTACATTCTATTTATATTTTTGCCGTTTTCACTATTTCATTAATTCAGTCTCATCAAAGGCGGTATAAGGGATCATTAGCAATCACACTTAATGTGAATGGTTGACATATGACTAATTTCATAATGTTTTAGTACAGACATGCATCACATGGCATGCATAACGGGGATAATGAGGTCGCAATTACATAGTTGCAAGTAATAATGCTAATAAATATTCACTCTTTGTAATCCGATTTACATGGATAATTCAATAAAATTACACCCGAGCGCCAGAGCGTAACTTACCTGTCTCTGTGATGTGTGTAGTGGGGATAATTATTTCCGAATCCAATCATAAAACTTTGTCCGTTGCCAGTTCCAAGCATTATATGAGTTTGCGCTTTAGCAAAACTCAGATATTTTTCTCCTGCTGCTGACCCTCTGTATCGTCTTGCTAGAATAGTGCATACGAATGCTGCATTTGCTAGAAATTGTGAAAATAATGCAATGAGCGATTTTATTACGATCAATGTTACATTGAATCGCCAAACATATATATTTATATAACGTATATTCTTATTGCGTACAATATAGGCAGTTGTGCTTGTGCTCATTTTGTAATTTGACGATGCAACTTAATAGTAAATTTAGTACGAAATTTATCCATCCTATAAATCATATAAATATTTTTGAAATATTCATGACGGCAATAAATGAGGAAAAATATCCAACAGTGGGCATATGGAAATATTGTTTTCCTTCATCATCGAGGCCGCCCGAGATTATTCAATGACAAACCGCATATTTATAGTAAAACCGAAAGTTTATTGTATTTTATTCATTAATAAAAGATATTCAAATAGAAAAGCCAGAATGTACATACAAGATAAAGCAACCGGTTCATTCTGTAAATTTTTGTAAAGTAATCCATTCGGCAAAACATAGGCATCAGATCCGCCAGGCTCATCACAAAATTGTTTCACTGGTTGCATGTACGTTCTATAATCGTCTGTTATGTCAGCCATCAGCAACTGTACAAAAAGCATCAAATACGTTGCACACCGATAATTTATTGCAATCTTATGTATAAATGTAATATTTCATAATGATTTCATTCTAATCTACAATCACGTTTATGCTATTGAAACAGAAAATGCGCTGGAGACTATTTACGAAATAAATTTTGATTTAATCTTCGACTTAGATCCACTTGGAATGTTTATACAATAAACTACGAAAAAGGGCACAATTGGGTTAATATTTGACTCGAAGCACGTTACTTTATGACATTTTATTGGAATGTAAAGACATGTATATTCCAGCAAAGTAGAAAAGAGATTTGTTTTAAATAAACTGTTGGCCAAAACCAGACATTCACAATATTGTAACAAAAATACCAACTTGTATTCCAATCATTTTGTTGTCATAAGATAATCCATCTTTTGTATCCAGGGACAAACGACCGTAGTTCGACTCCACAAAATCGAGATAAAAATTGTCTTTTGTTGCCTCATACAACCACACAGCTCCCCACACTAATTCATCATCGTAACCGCTTGACCTTAATTGCATTTAAATATTTATAACGAAAGTTCTTTTTTTGCTGATCGTGATTGAAATATTTTCAAAAAATTATGATAATATTAACCTAATAGTTGAGATAAACACTACGCTAATTATTAAAACCACGTACTTAAATATGCACAAACGTGATATTGTGGTTTGCAGTGTTATTGCGGAATCTCTTCAATAGTCGGAACCTGGCCAGTTTTGACAAATTTCAATAGAATCAAAGATTGTGATATGTCAAGGTTGCATTTCGGCGACGTTCAAGAAGTATGTGTACCAATATGGAGGGCACTAATTTTGTTCGCCTACTTTACATCAAGTTGTGTAAAGGGACTGAAACCTATGTGGAGGGGGTATATTCACTTGGCTAATACAGACAGTTCTGAACTCGTAATAGAACTAGAATAAGGAAGATTGAAACAAAATTATGCCCTAATCTGGTACTGGTACACACAACACGGGAGTACGATTCCAGCTTGCTTGTACAGGTGTTTGCTTGCTTGTATGTAATCTTGTACAAAATCTCATTGCTCTTTTTACTTATAAAGTTTTAACAAACCAGCTGGAAGTGAACTTCGTACATGATTCATGTGTGACGGAAAGAAGGAACAATCTAATTTACACAGGATAGTTGGAACAGTATTTTAACTAGAGTTTAACCAAATATGCCTAACAGAATACCCATAAAATTCTTCTGCCTTTTTCATCACTAAAAAATCGTATCTTCCTCTATATACTTCAGCAAACTGCCATAGTTCTATAGCATGTCCTATTAATTTTGCTGAATAATCCGGTGCTGAAACAAAGTAAAATACGTAAGAAAGAATGCAATAGCTTCTTAGTAATAACCTTCAAAAATGTGTTCGAGATGTTTGAAAATTATGAAAAAAAAGTTATATGGAAGAATAATATGTAATATAATTAAATAAATTGGCAAATTTTTTTATAATTATATACGAGACAATGCAAAAACCATATATTTCCCAACATCCACATCTACGTGTTATAGATTGAGCATCATATCGGTATACCCAATGCAACCCTATATTTGAAGGTTCACAGAACGTGGAATTCTAAACGAACTCACCAACTTTTTCAAACAAAATTGAAGCAGCAGCTAAAGCGGCTGCTGTTTCAGCTGCAAGATCAGATCCTGGTTCGTCCGGTGATAATTTAAATGCAGGTCTTTCCCAATCCATCCGTTGAGAACTTTCCCATAATTTGTGATCAATGTCAGGATCGCCCACCTAAAAATATATATACAGCAAGAAATATATTGGTATAATATTAACAATCAAATTATCGGCGTCCCATATACGGCCATAAATGAGTAAAAATATATTTTTTTTGCGCTGCTGCTTATAATTAGGTCCTACGGCTTATAAATTCAAGTAAAACACATAAAAAATTTAAATATTTCGAGCAAACGAATAATGAACCCCGTACCATTCCATAATATTCTTCTGGCGAAACATGGCATTTCATAAAATAATCTGTTCCCCATTTTACAGCTTCCATTAGGTTTTCCATTTGTCCAGCATTTTCGTATCCTTCCCGAAATTCTAATGCTCCCCAGGCAAGTTGCGTAATAGCAAAAGCCATCGGAAAGTTGAATTTGACGTAATCTCCAGCTACAATGTAAATCATATTGAGAATAAAAGATTGTAATAACATTGTACCAGTATTGCAAGCTGAAATGTATGGTCCAATGTATATTGTCTTATGTATTCTACCCATAAAAATGCTAATTTCTGTCAGGAAATTTCAAGTGGTTTATCTCAGTGTTATTTAGTATATGAAGATAACTTGGAAAAAAAATTTTTTACAATAACTCATATGAAAATATGACGATGTGATATCTCAAGAATCGGCTAAAAGTTGGTACAATAATATCAATTTTGTCATGATAGTCAACTGAGACACATTGTAGTAAATCATGTATTATCCAAAAAAACTGAACAAGAATCCAGCTCTCGGCCATTTTTTTGTTCACAACTGACAACTGACTCCGGTCAAGATGAATAATGTATTGAAACTATTGATTCAGTATTACTAGGATTATCATGATAATATAAACACCAATAAATAACTGCACAGGTGTTATTGACAATACACAAACACAATAAAATACATCGACAAAGGAAGCAAATAATATTTAAAAGAAAGCGAGAGTACGTTGCAATTAGTAATCCGATTGTTTACGTTTTGCATGACTATGTCGGGGAATTTTGATTTATAACCTATATGGAATGTAAATGATAACAATAAAGAGAATGGTTAATATCCATGGAACCTGTTTACGTACTTCATAATGCAAAAGTATTTTATGAATGACTAACAAGTATATAATAATTACAACGTTTAGTTAGATGGCACTTTCAAATTTTCAAAGTCTGTTCAAAGTTTTTGTATTGGAACTGAATTCTGCTTTGCAATTTGTTTTCATTTGTTAAACTAAACTTATCACGTGATAGATGGTCAATTTGCACAATTATGCGTGGGTTTCTGTGTATTTCATTTGCCATACAGTGATTTCCTACGTTTGCTAGAATATTTCAAGCAAAATTTTATGATACAAGTGCGTAACAAATTGACGTTTCTGAAATACTAAACACATATTTTTGCTTTACTTCTAGAGTTTATGAAAAACAGAATTTTGAGTCAAAATATCATCAAATTCAACAATTATGAGTCACTTTAAAGTTGAATTTTTTGATTTTAAAGTTTGAATATGATATAATTCAAAGCGGTGGGGTAGAACTTTTTCTAATTGTATCAAGATTCATGATCTATATAAGACATTGAAAAAATAATTTTCTCAGAAAATATCTACTGGAGTAGAAAAATCAAATCAACTGTACCAATGTAATATCCTCCAATTAAGTTTACTCCCTCCAATCCTCCATCATATAATCCAGAACTTTTTTTCCATGGAATCCGATTATCATCCGATAAGAATCCCGACCTTTGTGATTCAATGAATAGCAACGACAATCTGATTGCCTTCTCATAATCGACGTCAGTATCTGTTCAATTGTATTTGCAGTTTAATCTACGTTAACTAAATTAAAAGTAAGTATCAGTTTCAACAAAAACATATATCTGTGATATTTTCATATATGATACAGTGTGACAAAATAAAAACTGAATACTTCAAGAATAGAGTTACATGCCCGCAACCTACGTCGAAACTCAGTGATAACCAATTTTAAGCAAAAAAATTAGGTTGAGATTTACATTGCAATATATAATATGAAAAATAATAAGAAGAAGTAGAACGTTTAGTATTTTAAGCATTTGTGCTTTTGGGTATTACAGGCTAATAAAAGCATTCGCAGATGTTGCATATGAGTTGTGGTCAACCTCTTGACCTCATGGGACAAACTTACTTATAATTTTTCTCATTTCTGTTTGTGACAAAGGGGGAACTCTTTCAGGCGGTGGTGTAATTTCGTACACTATCCCTTGAAATGTTACTTTTAGTTTTGGGGCGACATCGTCAGTGAATCCCTGAATTCTGAAATACAAATCGTCGCCTCTGTCGAGAAATCCATTCCATATTGCATTTTCAACAATGTATAAGGTTTCGTTTTCAAATGTTTTGACGAGTTCAGCCTCGTAGACCTGAGAATTGAGGAAAAAATAGGTAGAAAAATTTGGCAATTAGTTGGTAAACTCGAGAAAACTAAGAAAACCAACTAAGAACTAAGAAAAACAACTAAGAAAACTAATACTTAGTGCACAAATTGAAAATTTGTAAACATTCCTGCGTCAAATTCGTTCTTTCAAACAAACAATGCGAAAATAATAAGCAAATCATCGATATATAACTTACAATTACAGTAGAATATTAAAATCAACATTTATCAGAAGACGTAAGAAACTGACAATAACCATTTCTTTGAAAAAATCATACTCTAAAGACGTTAAAATATTGACGCAGATTTGTATTTAATATACGATACGAGCGTGAAAATAGTTCATTACTCGTAGTTATTTATTATCAATGCATCATTTTAAACTTCTCTTTAAATTTGTTTAATTAATTAATAATTGTTATGAATATGTCAATATTTGGTCATTCCTTTCTCGCTTCTTATTTTTTTCATTTTCAATTTTTACAAAAATTAGTTCTAATATTTTCCTAAGAATATACAAAACAATTTTCTTCTCACTTGATTCATTCAATTTCGTTGCGCATTAGATCACTTGATCATGATTCATTGCAAAGGGGAAATTCAACGCCTACAAATTAAGACGAAAATAGATTACCTTGAATTTTCTGACTGGTTTGTCAAATTCTATTGTGACCTCCCATGAATTGACTGAATTCGTCATTGGAATATTAATCTCTCCTTCAAATCCACCACCTCCATATTCATCTAGTAAATCAAGTCGTACGTTATAAATTAACAATATTTATTTTTAACAGAAACACTGGATTTTAAGTTCATATGACATCGATTTTGATCATTATAATATGAAGAAAAACAGGAAATATGAGCATTGTAGTAATCTGAACTGCAAATACAATAATAATAAACTATGCTAAAGTTAAAAATAGATATTTTTTTTATATCCTTGTATAAATTTAGATATATAAATGGTGTTTAGGTACGTGTTTAGGTAAGTGTTCTACTTTGCAATCCAATAATGCCTTTTGTTTTCAACATTTTGTACATTTAGTAGAATTAAAAATGCATTGGAATATGCTAAACCTTACCGCACATGGGCTCATCTCTGTATTTGAATTCACATATGTGGAGTGTGTTTAGGTAATTGGGTGGAATGCCTTCTAAATTTACACTTGATATTTGGCCAATCTCAATCAAAGACTCCGCAAATGTTACGAATTTAGATTAAAACACTCGAAAATATTTAATACCCACTTGTTAATTTCCAAATATCATCTATCGAAGCAGCTGTTGATACCGGTGATAAAAATGTTAAACATACAAGTATAATCCATATTAAATAAATCCCTTTATCCATTTGTTGATTCAGAGATGCCAGTAAATAGTTTCACCCTCCACAGATTAAGGTTAAAAGTATTTAGTACAACTATTTTTAAAAAAACATAGAATGGAAAACGAACAAAAAATAAATGAAATTTATTAAGCTCAACATTAAGCTATAAAGTTGATGTTGCTAATGATATGACGACGTGAAATTACGAGTTATTTTATATTAGAATTAAATGTCAATTTGACAAAGAAAGAATCGTAAACACTCAGAATGCGAAAACAAACAGTAACGTCATAACTAGAACAACTGCACAAAGTCCTAGTTATTTTCTATTGTGACAGTTGACTGATTTCCATCGATTGGTGCATGTCAAAATACACTATATAAATAGATATAGTTTTTACCATACTCCCCATAGATTCTAACGCGCGCGAAATAAATAGAATTACTTCAATGTATTTAATACTTTGCTAAATGGCTGAAAAGTATTTGATGATGTAACTGAAAGTATATGAACGTGTCACTTTTTTATGACCTCATTATGACGAGTTCTATCATGTGTCATATTTAAAGTAATAGCGAGTCTAAAACAACATTTCATCTAAAACCTGATCTCGTATATGTAATAAAATATAGGCTACTAAATAAAAATAATTTATTCTGTTTTTTGTGTACAGTAACGCCCAGGACACAAAGTGACTTTCTTTTATAAACTATCGAAACAAAAGGCGATGATTTGTTTCTAATAATAATATCCATCGGATTTAGTCCACCTTGTTAATTAAATGTTTCCAAATTAGTTGGCTTTCAATTGGCAGGTGACCATAACCAGCAATTATCAATGCACATACACGCGTTTATTGGTTTAGATCCAATAGGTACATGCTGCGTTTACACTTAGTTAACAATAACATGCAAATTTTTAATCTGTTGGTTTTTTTCTTGCACTATGTAGATGCGTGAGAGCCTATTCTAAATTTGAATGATTGGTTTATTAATTGTATTTTACAATATTTTGTAAATTATCAGTTCATTATAGGTAACATTCATCCCTTTTTCTCAAAACTTCAATTATGTGAAATTTACTCCCACAGCCGTTTCCCTGGCAGTATTGACTTGAACTGTTTCGAGTCTCGCGTCAGTCTGGTTCTAACTACGCTTCCATAAAGCCTTGTGATATCAGAATCTCCTAGCAATTTAGTGGTCGCTCCTAACTTTGCACAGAAATGAGTCTCATTCTCTATTGGGTGAGCCTACGTGACCTTGCTTTGACCCAATTCTCACAAAAATCTGAATATTACGGTGAATCTTGAAAAACTAACCATTTAATAATTACGCTATGCAATGGCTAAGTATATACCACAGAAAACCAAAATGAAAATCATAAAACGTAATATTCAAAGTTGAGTCTATTTTTCGCTACGAATGTTAGAACTATCAGTTGCTGTACAATATCTGACATGGGAAAATCAATCATATGGGAAGCAAATAATCTACAACTATAAATTGATGAAATGCATTTATGATAACTATGCTTTACCGGTAAAACAAACTGAATGCACTTACAAAAAGTGCTTAGTTTTATTATGCGAATATGTCAGGAAAAATACCTTCAAAATTACGATTATAACATATTCATTTACAACAATTAAGATTCCCGCGGAAACCTCACTCATATATTAGCATTCTTGTTCATTATAAAATAAATGAAGGTAACCACAAAATTCAACTATTAAATCTCAGCTTTTAAACATTCATTTTATAATTTTACTTAATTTCTATTCGCCTCGCGTGGGTTATTTTACCTAGTATAAACCCATTATTGAAATGTAGATTTGTATCATTACCGTACGTTTTCTATATTTAATATATTACCAAATTACAAGTTATTGCACACGATTATAAAAATTCAATTACTCTTAATTCGATTCGAAATACACTTTAATTTCATGAAAAATATCAAAAACATCTACTGAGAATTCACCCGTAAACACTATTGATTACTTTACGAAAGACTGAAAAAATAAATCACCAATCAAGGATGACAGACATTTTAAAAGTCCATTTAACTATATAAACTAATTAGCTTCTAAAAACTATTTCAATATCGACTTTGATGTCTCGAGAATAATCACGAATCACTAACTGATCAACGAAAATCAATCACGCATTGCATTAATTATTAATTACGAGTATTATAATATATTATTTACGAGAAAATGATACAGTAGAAATAAAAACCTAATTCTACCTATAATATTGAGCAAAAAGTATAAAATATATATTTTATACATATCTTTCAAAATATAAAAAGGTTTCCCACCAAAGAATGTGTTGATTTATATACCCGTCTTCAGAAGCCTTTTTTTAAATTTCAAATGAAAGTACAATTTACAATTTACTCTTCTACTCGCTCCTACAACATTAGCTCTGCTCTTTCTTTCTTCTCTTTTCTTCAAATTGCCTGAATTCATCTAAATATCACTGCATTTGACGATATTTTCTTCTTTCAAGTGGACATCGCCCATGGCTAAAGGTCATGAGAGCTTATACAATAATGTATGGGTTACAAAGATGAGCTGGTATAACCCTCTTAGCTTTTGTCCACGCGGTTGTTCTTTCCCACCATTCGGAAGTGAAAACAAAGGGATTTCACGCGACCCGCAGAAAGGAATGCATCGCCGGAGGTGCAATATGTTTTTCGATATATCCTTTCTTTAATTATTATTTGTGTGTACTGCTATGTAATTACCGTTGCTGTTTGATCTGATCCTCTCAAAATCTTTTGTTTAAAAATTCTCTCTTTTGAAAATCTCTCTCCGATGCAATAAAAATATGAGGTTACATTAGCTTTTGAACTGCTACAAATTTACAATGACACTGTAATAAAATGCAGCAAATTCTTTAGGATTTTGAAGTTAATTAGGCAAGGTAGAATACCTAGCTATAGACTTTGCGACTTTCTATTCAGTACACAACGACAATGAGAAATTATAAAGATTAGTCTCGGATATAATTAGTATAATGATGCAAATCATGCATTATTACAATAACTAATAAATTCAAGTAAAAGTACTCACTTTCTACATTATTGTTATCCGATCCGGCGGTTAATGCCAATGATCACCCGGAATAAGTAACTATATAACGGCCACTAAAATCAATTGTTATTTTAATTACATTGTATACGATTTTACTGCTCAAATCTAATTTTATTATTCTACTCAAAATTTACACCTCCCAAAATTATATGCGCATATGCCAATAGGCAAACCAGTTCCGAATCTATAAGGCAAGTATCGTTGAGGGGATCAAATTGATAGATCTCATTAGATTTGCAGAATAAAAATAAAGCAAAGGATCTTCCTCTGAACCGTCATTTGTTTTTAAATTTGGTATAATTTAAAATTGGTTCAATTTTTTACTTAACCAAAAAGAGTCAACAACTGAAAGTTGCGGTAATCTTGAACGTTGTTTTTTGTTGTCTTTTCTTTTTTTACCTATGTCTACCGAACAACCATTCTTCTTACGGTAGAAAATATCTGTCTGAAATTTTAAAGAAACTGCAAGTGCCGAAGCAAAACGATCCATCTCACCTCAACATTGTATCTGGCATTTACGCTAAGAAGATCCACCCAAAATGATTCTTTTACACCTACGATGAACAATATATTCCTCAAATCCGACTGATTTATTTCTCCTACAAAAGGTAATTAGTTACGTCGGACTTGAAAATTTCAGCGAATTTATCTTCATTGGAAAGTGAATTGCTCATAATTAGGCAGTCTTTAACGAATTATCGTGACATTAACAACCAGAATATGGCGCGACAAATATGAATTGGTATAGAATATTTGCCGTTAATTTACTTTAACGACGTCAATGGCGTCATAAATTACTGACGTTCGGTCGATTGTGGGCAACTCCAAACGTACGTTAAATGAGACATGGCCTTAGTAGTTACAGAAACGGGATATATTAGTTCCAGAATGACGACAATTAACAATTTTCAAATTGTTAAATAGATGGGCTACGGCCATAACGTAGAATACATTTTGTGGTAGCGGGACGGGTTGACGAGAAACATTTCTAAAGGGGACGATGACCATTTCAAAAACTTTGACATGACTTTTGTTGGATAATAATTTGTTGGTAACTAATTCATAATAAACCAATCTTCAAGTATACTATATTTGTTTTTCAGTTTAGAATGCAAACGAAAATCTTAGAAGTTTATATTTCTGAGAAATTTGCTACGACCGAGGACTTTTGCAATTTTGATGACAAAAGAGTAAACTGAACTTTAAATGAATGAGAACACACAGTAGAACCAGTGGTACAGGGCTTTCATTATGAGCAAGTTCGAAATATATGATCTTTGCTTTTTGGTGAGACTTTTACTCTATTTCTATGTCACAGTGCACGTGTTGAGAAAACGAAAAAAACACAAAGCTAGTTAGCTGATTTCAAACGTGATCTCTTGCCTGCCTTCATCTCCGACCATAACATAAAATTCTGTTTTACTATCAGTCATTATAAAGCATACACAAGAGTATGATAAGAAAATATGCAGAAATCTCAGACTGCATATCTTGACGGACCAATGTTTTATATTGATAATTTCGAATTGCGCATTCACACCACAGTTATTTTTTCGTATCATACATTCATTATATGTGTTGTTTCCCATTTGACACTATTCTTTGTAGTCAACATGCAGCTAAGTTCATACGAAAAACAGAACTTGTTCAAAGAAAATTGTAATAGTACGTTATTACGTTGAATTAAAATATTGCAAAATGAAGTGATTGATAAACGAACAAGGCACCAGATGATTATTACACAGACATCGTGAACGAACATTTTCCGAGCGTAGAATTTTTTTTAAATTAGAAGCCGAAACGCGTTCTTTCTGACAGAATACCAGTTTTTCAATTAACCTGGTAAATTATTGTATTCACTAGAGAAAGTTAGTGCAATACTGCGGCTCAAAAACGAAACCCTGGTGTTATTTTGCTATTATCCAAGTCACATTTTTTTTAATTTAACGCGTAATATTGACGTTTCGTGAGATTGTGTGGACATGATCCATCGTAAAAGTATAGTTCGCTAAAGGCACCATTTATGGTTGATACAGTAGATAAAATGCACAAAAGTAGTTCAAAGTCAAAACAACAACAAAAAAAAAACTAAAAATGGAAGAAAAATGAAAAGGCTGGTTTATATACAATATGTCATATTTCAAGGGTGGATAAGAACATCATATTTGGTTCATATTCGCTATCTTTGAATGAAAATCTTGAAGTAGCACGACCTAAAATGCTTATGGAGATGATAAAAGGTGAAAGTATGATTGTATATAAATATGGATTGTTATCAAGCATGCAGGTAATAAATTTCTATTTTAAGACAAATTTTACAACCTCCAAGGTAAAGATGGCGAATATATTTGGATGTTCAGAAACAATTGACAAATAGATTTATAGCGATTGTACTTAGGTTAAATAAACTACGTTGTCAGGGCGCAATGAATAAATTGATTCTGGACCAGGTACGAGTAACACAGAACAATCGCTAAATACTCAACATATATATCGATAGGAATCTATTTCTATATAAAGCACCAAAAATTCTGGCTGGCGAATTATACTGGGCTTGGCGTATGTTATCACGTCCGAGTTTTCTTTGGTAATAGTGTATATATTGCAAAATATGCCTTATTAAGGAAGTGTACAGTTTTGGTCAAATCCTGGCATTAAATGTGATGCAGCACTTGTGGGATTAACTGATACTTGTTGTGAATAATGACCTATGGCATGGTTGGTAATAGGAAGTGAAGGTGACGAAAAATCGACGTGGCCGTTTTGGTATTCAGAGCTACCAATAGCAGATTGGTAATAAGATGTTTGAGCATTCTGCATGTGGTGAAATCTTGGCATTGTGAGAGAACTTGGTTGCGAGTAACCAGTTTGCGCTTGGTTTCCGTTGTTATGATTGTAATCCGCGGTTGGTAGATATGAATTCTGTGGGCGTGGCAGTATTTGGTGATTACCAATTATTGATGATTGGTGTTGCTGGTTCATGCCTGGTTCTCTCTGTAACATTAGAGATTGGTCAAATGGTGGATAGTGGTTTGTGGCAAGCTTCGTTTCACCATTTGAAGACGGAGTGGCACCATCGCGAGGTGAGGAGTCTTTTATATCAACGACTTTAATGGGTGGTGAGCGGTCACGACCAGTTGTCTGATCCTTGGTAGACGATTGGTTTTGTTCACTGGATGATAAATCGTCTCCCGATTCCTCATCTGTAACTTGGTTACCAGAGTTGCAATCATCAGATCGTTTATCTCCTTGGCTCCCAGATCCTCCATCTTGTTTCAATCTTCGCCATTTTGCTCTTCGATTCTGGAACCATGTTTTCACCTAAGAAAGTAAATACATTTCAATCATTTACTGTCGAAATGCTCGTCGAATATGCGACCGTATACCATTTTAAAATGTTTGTGGTAAGTTGTGGTTATTTTCGAGCTATACGAAGTCATTGCAACAGAATTGCGTACGGAACAAAAAGAGGAATTTTTGCGAGTGCATACAAAGTTTTAAGTAAAAATTTGTATGTCATGTCGAGATTTTTATATCGAGTGATTCTCAAACAAGAAAAAATATTTACGTTGAGAATAGTATCCTAAGTTTTCATTTTACAGTGCAAAGCTCAAATAATCTAATCAAATAATAAAAATCGAGTCAGAGCAATGATCTTTTTCTCTCTCAAGTTTTGATCAAAACAGGCAATAAATTGATTATTCGATGCAATGTAAATATAGAAAAAGGGTTGAAAAACTTCCATTAACTATGGCGAATGTTTTGATTCTCTTGCTAGAACATATAGGTCTTATTGTTCGTATACCCGTATTGTAATATAAGACTACATTTTCTGAGAAAATGCCAATACACTCCAGGGCTTTCTTTGCAACGTCAATCAACCGGATTTGCGAATTGCAAATATAGCTTATGGGCATAAAGCCAGGAGAAATCGCTTAATCAGAAACCGTAGTAGTTTCCCGAAAATAAGAAATTAAAGGTAAAACAATACAGAGAAATCGCTTTCTATTTTCATTTAAAATGCGAGCCGGCTTTGGCGCTTCGATTAAACGCCCCACCAAGTGCTAAACTATATCCTAACATTACTCGACATAAATGAAACTTTAGTCAGGCCGTTCGCATATTGGTACCGCCTACACACTTGTTCCATCTATGTTAAATACTTAATCTAAATTGGGTCACAAAACTCCAAAATTGCAAACAATCAACATCATGAATCGCGTGTCTCCGATAGCGTTCCGGAAATGCCAATCAAGGAATGCGTTGGGAACGATATGAGACAAAGGCATAAAATTTAGGTCGCCAATTCGCAAACAAATTTGAAAATTTAATAATAGATATTTTTCAGTTCTTGCCATAATAGAAAATGTTTGCATGTTTTGAACTTCACTCCAAAGAGATTTCAAAAAGTATAACGAGAACTGTTCTATATGTTGGTGATTGAAAATTATGATTGAATAAATTATGCTCGTTTAGGAATTACATTTGCGACATGAAGTTTTACAAATTTTGTTTTGCATAGTCTTTAAAATGTTCATCTTTTAAAAAGCCTAATATTTCTGGCCAATGTAAGAGAATTCGATAGAATCTTAAACTTACATATTAGGCTCTATTAAATTAGTATAAAAACTACTAAAAAACGTGACGGTAATCTGCGAAAACGCGGAACAATTTTAAAACCTCGATGCTGTGCATATAAAATTGATTGAGAAGAAACAGAGTACGTGAGATAACGGAAGATAAAACTAACTTCTAACCTAGTGTTTGTTTGTTTGTACAAAGTTCAGAATGAAAGCACAGAAATGCTGTATTAGAAATGGGATTATTTGTGTAATTCATGCTATGGCTTCTCGATAAACAGTAAATTCAAATATAAATTCTCAAAGCAGGCAATATGGTACTGGTTTCTGTAAACCGTTTCCTTCAACACACACACAAAACCATACCTGTCTTTCCGTTAGTTGCAAAGACTTTGCGAGCTTCTTTCGTTCAGGGGGTGATAAATATTTCTGTTCTTCAAATTTCTTCTCGAGATCTGATGTCTGTTCGTTCGAAAATCTGACTTGTCCTCCTTTTCTTTTATGCATATTGCGATGCATAAAAGGTCCCCATATCATTGGTCTTCCCACTAAAAAATACACAAATTACTTTAAAAATCAGTTCGCCAGAAACCTATTGCTACAGAAGCGTGGTCAAATGTGGGATGTCGTTTAATTATTTGTAAATAAGCAGTTAAAGAATTTTTCATTGTACAAAATTTTTCGTATTTCCATGCCTTTAAAAATCGTATGTTATGAACAAAATGGCGGTGATTTAAAATGTTATTTTACTGCCATCTAACGTTCACATATATACATTCGGTAACCGAAGAACTTTTCTCAAAATACATTTATAAATATAACCTTACAACAAGAAAGTGCATTGCATATTAACTCATATTATTCATTAATTTGAATATTCTATAATGAAATGCTAATTTGAACTTTCGTGAATGAAACAGTCGAAAGAACAAAATTATTGATCCATATTTCCCATAATAATTGCTTCTAATTATGATAAATTGAAAACTATGTGTTGCATTTTTTTTCGAACCAGTGTAGTTACAATTTAAATTTTGTTTAAATACTATTTAATTTTGTAAATAGTAATTTTATGCAAAATCAGAATTTTTCTTGTTCAATCCAATTTATTGCACAATAATTGATGTTGCTGTCATTTCTAGGTATGTCCAATCAAGCCAGGCCTAAGCATTTAATAAACAAACTAGAGACAATTTACTCTGATAAAATATTTGAGAAATGTTCATTTGTTCAACCGCATATTAAACTACTGATTACAAACAATGTAATCCTTTGTTCAACTCTTTGCAGAACACATAGTTGGATAGAAATTTAAACTTTGGTGTCGAAATGGTTATGCAAAGATTGGGGATTACGTCCTTTGTCAATTGGTAGCCTACCAAGTTACCAAACATTTGCGCAGAGCATCTTAATCAGACAATTGGCGCCAGTCTCCTGTTTACACATGGTAGACATGACCTAATGAGAGCAAATTGACAGACAAGGGTTTGTGTTTGTTTTACACATTGGGTACGACACCGGACTCAAATGTTTGAAAAATTGGTTACTTTTGTACGGTACTTACTTTTTCTGAGATTCTTGATAAATATTTTAAATACTATTACTTTGAGTTCACATCCAAGAACGACTAGAAAGGCATAAATCGCTCAATTGTTCGATTTAAAAAAAAAAAAAAGGTAGTGAAAATACCATCCGGCGTCGTCTTAATTTTTATAAGATTGCCGATTCAGAATGATCTAACATTCCGCCACTCTTCTTTATTTGAACTGCAATAAATTAACGTCTGTTTGATACACAATGGACGTCTGATGGCGATTAAATACCCCTAATGTCAATACATAATCCACTAATACACTTAACAGGTACAAGACCGGTGAGAGATAACGGGAGTCAACATCATTTATTGCGGTATAAGCATGCGCTATACAAACATTGCATCCTGTACGTGTAAAATTTGAATTAAGTTTGTTTACAAGTAAGAAAACAGTATATTTACTAGGATATTGACAGTTTCTAATATAAAAATTGACCGCCAATGCTGTTTACAAAAAATACCAACATATTAGAGGAAAAAACTATGTTTTAATCAAAGAAATTTCAAAGATAGGGTAGGGTATGCCTATTCTGCGGTGACCGTAAATTTGAACCCACGTACATTTGAACCCATGTGTATATCCGTGGGTTCAATCTATATGCGGGTGCTAAAACCCATGGGTTAGGGTCAGTATGGGTTCAAATATCCGTAAAACAAAAATAATTTCTATAGGTGCAATAGTATGCAGGTGCAATAGTATGCAGGTGAAATTGTCGTGGGTTCAAATGTACGTGGGTTCAAATGTAATGAAACCCTATTCTGCACGATAGTCAAAACAATACAGTACTCAAGCAATTTCTTTTTGTAGGTTTGAAATATCCTATGAAACTGCTAAAAATCTACAACAATGCACCTCTGATTGAATATGTTATTTTAACAAATATCATACAGATTTCTAATTTGATCAAAAATAAAATATGATACTCAAAGATACTTTTACAATCTCAATTTGACAAAGAAATATTTGGTATGAAGACATTCGTTTGGATAATCAAATTTGAAATTATTTAAACATATATAGCAACTCGACAATTCCTATATCGAAATAGAGATGTCAGCAATTTTCCGATACCAGATTTGTCGAACTATAGCAAACCGAATTGAACTTTCATAGAGTAATTATCTGGGGGGTATTTTCGTAGGCGGATTTGCCCTATACTACATAAAATGAACCAAATACACGATGAAGAAATAAATAGGAATACATACATGTGTAGAAAATCGCTTTAAAAAAGTAATAAAGCAAGGCTAAAAGTCAAGCGTTAAACTGAATGAAACTGAAGTGTATATGCCGCACGCCAAATTATTTACTAGTACTAGACTTCAAAAAAGTTCAATTGTTATTAAATCTATCAATACAAACCACAAAATCTGTTACAATTACGAATGAATGCATTTGATAAAACCCGAATATCGATAGCAGATGCCTCTTGAAAATCCTATCAAACAATTTTAATGGAGGTCAACGATATTTGTTATTGTCGCCATGGTTAAATTAAAAATATCCAATAAGCTTTGAAAATGACATTTTTTTTAACGCTGAATGTTAAACCGGGGCAATTATTGAATTTTATTATTATGAGTACTTTAGTTTCTGTCAGTAAATATTTGATTTCAGCGTGTCACGTGGATTTTTATTCAATTTTTTATTTTAAATGTTACATTGTATGATTCAAAATCGCCATCAACCATATAGTGTATTATTTATCATGATAATTTGCCCGAAGCAAGGTAACGCGCACGTGAGGGGTGAAGGAGGCTCACATATGAGTAAAGTTACGGGCCACCAAAGAAATTGAAAGAGCTGCGAAACTATACAGTAATATGGACACAATTGGTAAATTTGAATTCAACGCATTATTTCTATCGAACTATATGCCCCGGGACAGTGTTTCCCAACCTACGGGTTGCGACCCAAAACTGGGTCGCATGAAAAACAATTTTTGGTCGTCTGTTTTGTCAACGATAACTCTTTATTTTTTAGTAGATTTTTTGTTTATTTTATATTTTGCATTGAAGTGTTGCTCAATAGTAATTGTATGTGTGTCTCACTTTGCGGTGGTTTCTGGGAAATAAATGCCATTTAAAAGTAATTGTTTTATACTTGTAATTTAATTTTGCAGTCATAAAAGCGCTACATGGGTCGCGTGATTTTACTAAATTTATAATTTTTAAAAATTTGGGTCGCCCGCAAAAGTGATTAGAAACCACTGCTTTTGAACCTCGTGCAAAGCGAATCTGGGAAAAACGTCAAAATTATGTAAATACAACTTTTAATGGAACGTATTATATCAATGTAGTTTTCATTAAGTCTTTTTGCGTGTATAATAATAAACGCCAATAGAGAAATGCTCAACCAAACAGTTTGAACTACATATAAATGCAAGTATAAATTCCGCGAACTTTTTAAATCGTTAAAACATGTTTATTTATAAGAAACTTTGCTATTACATTCCAGGTTAAACGTGTTTTGAGAGTTGTAAAGCTGCCGTTGATCCGTGAAGTATCATAATTTGGTATCACAAACAAGCACTTAGGTTCGAAATACATTGACGTGATTTCGCCAATGTAAATATACAAGTGAAATTGGTATTATAAATTTAATTGAATAACACATTCACTTCTTGAGCGAAGTAGATTTTGCAAGAAATAACCTATTAGCAAACATACTTTACCAAACTATTTCATCATGGCTAGCTCATTGCTGGCTTGTTGTAGTACAGTATGATAACATACAACTAATTTTCCATATACTCATGTCCATTAAATGGGAAGAAAGTAAGGTATTCCTGCCACGGGAATAGCTGGCTCAACTACCCAATGATTGCTGATATATACTGGTTTGTAAATTAAAGCAATATGTAATTATATGTAGAGACAAGATACACATATCTGATAATGTACCAGTAGGTAACCCCCGATTGATACCTCATCCATGTTACGAAATTCCAAACACTTGATCATTCATTTCACAAGTTACACATGTATTAACAAGACTATAACAACATCGGAACAACAAAGCGTCTTTTGATTCGTTTTTCAAACTTTTTAAATTCTTTTGACACACTTTCACAAGTGAATGTTGTTTTAACAACTTGATTTGGCCACCTAAACGGTGGAAAGTTGTCATTTAATTTCGTACATTTTGTAATATTATCATATAACGGCGACATATTCACATTTCAATTATGATAATTCTAAGGCGTGGATCACCAGTATATGCGGTAAATTACCGATGTTATATTATGAAATTTTGATTTGCTGTTATGAGCACCAAGTCTGAAGCATCAAATTTTCTAAATTGAAGAATGATACAATATGTTACTAAGTACTGCTTAGTAAATACATAGAAGATTATGAAATGTCATTTATTTTATAAATTAAAAAAAAGTAAAAAAAACGCAATTAACATTTTCGTCGTTTTCTGAAATGACGAGTTATTTTTGTTGCCTTTCAAGCAATAACGACATTTTTTCTCATATATAAATTACATCATTGAAATGGCGATATATGAATGTTTCATTTAAAGACTGCGGCATAATGTTATGCTATTGGTTGAATACAGTTCATAAATTTTGTTAATAACTTTTCTCTCTTTTTTTAAAAAATCTTTGGATAAAATCATCGCTCATATATCAATAATGTTTATATACATTTCTGTGCAATTTGGCACCGTTATTGAAATTTTCGAAACGCAAAAAAAACTTTTCACATCGCGTGCACTTTCTACCATTTTTACTTTTCTGGTGGTTGCGCCATTCCCGTCAATTACGTATGTGGTAAATCGGTGCACAAAAACAGGAAGGCTATTGGGTCGCGATTGGCAGCGCCATCACATCACTTTTGCAATCTCATTTTCGCAAAATTAACCCTTTCTCAACACCAAAATAAATCTAACGGCAACTGAAATTTTGTAAATTATTACACAAGATTACACATGGCAAACTAGATAAT